GAGAAAAAAGCATTTTTTCATAACTTACTTTTAATATTAGATATTTTTTGTTATCATTATCTATATTTTCAATGATATAAAAATTTTCAGTTACAAGTATTACATCTCTATTCTCAAACTCAGATAAACTTAATTCTTGAATTGTATTAGTTGGGTAAAATCTGATTAAGATAATATTAAGAGAAGAATTTAAACTTCAAGATCTTACAATACCCAAAGCTTCAATGATTGTAAAATCTTTATTGGTAAATGATTTACGATAATTCATTATATAACATAAGACAGTAACTAAGGCTGGTATTTTTTTTTTTTAAAAAAAAAAATTAGGTGTATAAAAAAATTTGACATTAAATTAATCAGTATGAGTCTTTAAATATTTTTTATTTAAATTTATCAATTTTTTTTTTTTTTAAATAAAAAAATCATGAAATAATTATAAATCATAAACATATTAAAAATGCTTCTTACTTTATCAGTGGTTTTAATTATATAATAATTCAAATAAAAAAATTATAAAATAATTATAAATCACAGACATATTAAAAATGCTTTTTATTTTATTAGCAGTTTTTATTTTATATAACAAATTATATACTAAGAATATATAATTAGCAAATTATATGTTAGGAAATATATACCCAATAAAAAGCTATTGTATATAAATTGTATAATTTTTATTTAATTTTTGTTATTTTTGTTAAAATTTTGTTAGAAATTTGTATAAATAAATAATTTTTTATTTTTTTATAAATTTTAAATAAATGATTTTTGTAGAGATTTTGTCAAATAATTAAAATTTGTTTAAATTTTAGTTGATATTTGTACAAATAAAAAAATATTTTTTTTTATATATAAAATTAAATATATGAGTTTTGTAGAAATTTTGTTAAATAATTAAAATTTGTCTAAAATTTGTATAGATACCAACAAAAATTTTTTTTATATTTAAATTAGATACAATACTATACAAGTTATAAAAAAAAGAAGTTAATGCTATACTCTAATTTAAAATTTATGTTTAGAAACTTCCTGAATATGAAAAAAAATATGCACGAATACAAAATAGACATGGTTATTTTATTGGTTCTATATGGAGAAGAAAAATAAAAGCTTCGTAAAGATAAACTATAGAATAGCAGTAAGTTTTTATAGTATAAAAAATTCTTTTAATCAATATTCTAATCAAATAATATCTTTAGGCATGGATGAAAATAGACAAGTGGGCTGTATTTAAAAATCGACTCTTAGAATTTGAGGTTCAAGAATTTTATGGACGTGTAAAATATTACTTCACCTACCAGTTCAACGGTAATACACATTTGATGGCACTAATTCAGTGGACCCAAAAGGTAAATGAAGATGAATATGAGCTTAAATTTTTTAGAGAGTTTGGAACAAAGCAGTTTATTGATATGCGAGTAATTGATCGATGTGTAGGATTCTTAGAATGTAGAAATCTTTTATTTATCATTGACAAAGAGGTAAATGATCCTGATGATAGTAATATAGAGTCGAGTAGTAAAGATAATAGATAATTGTATTATGTTGTTTATAACTCTTTCTGTAACAAATTAATAGTTCTTATGCAAATTTTTGAAGTTCTTTATATAGTAATTTATTATATTTGAAACTTATTATATCTAGTATTGACTATATTTCAGTTATTAATAAAAACATTAGAGTCACTTATTATTTAATTATAATTTTTTCAATTTAGAATCATCTATATTTTCTTTATGAGGACGAGAAGTGCTGGTCATAACAAACAAATTATTAGAAATGGATAATTTTAAAATAATAAGTATGCATGTACGTTGAACAACTGGTGACTAATATATATAATGTCAGACTACTATAAATAACTTTAAGTACTATCTATTCAAACAAACCTCAATATGATAGGCTTCGAAAAGGTGTGAATAGACTTGGTCCTGGCTTGACATCTCAAAGCCTTACTAGTATTATTACTTGGTTCAGATAGGTGTCTTTTACTTGTTTCTTTAATTAGATCTTAATTCAATACTAAAAATTGTTTTCTCTCTCAGGGTTACTGTGGAAGTTTTTCAAATATAATCCCGATCGTGAATCTTATTCACGATTGCAAGTGTATGAAGATTTCAGGTAATGCGATGATTGATTTTCAAATAAACTGTGAATTTCAAAATAATTAGTACAGAGTGACTAGTATTTACTGATCTTATTTTTCAATTGGGTAACAATATGTATGAATTTATGGGACAAGAAAATGTAACAATTTATGTAATTGCAGTGAAAATAATACTCAGAAGGATTTCTACTGTTCATTATTTTGAAGCACAAACCAAAGATTATGTTTTATAATAGGAAAGCTCCTACTTTTTATATTTGATTTTTACATATTACAGCATTACAAGCATTTTACTAATCTCTATCTTTCTAATTTTTCTTACTATTCTTCAATTCCTTCCATATCTACCATAGCCCAAAATTGAAATTAATCGAATACCAGGAATTTTAGAATTCATACAACCAATTTCCACAGTAATGTTTATGGAGTATCAATCTTACCTTTTACAACGTACAGAACATATGTATGTATGTATGTACGTATGTATACTGTGTGAATACAAATAGATAACTTATATAACAAATCCTGATTTTAAGATAAATTTTAAAATTATAATTTATACTATTTATAATAAAACAATGCTAATCTCTTTTTAGCTATATAGGGATTAGTGTAAGTCTTTCTAACCTAATTATTATTTGATTTATTAGTGATAAAAGCTTATAAAAATTTATGAGCTTGTGTCAATCCTAAAAAAGCTACATTTTTTTGCTAGTACAATTTTTCTGGTCAGAATTTGTCTTCATATCTATATTAAACATGAAGAATACTATCAAGATGTTTGTTAAATTTTAGTATACTAGAGGTTTCAAAGTTAATATCAGAAAACCTTATTTTATTTTCAAAATGTATCACTTATTTGTTAACTTTGAAACCCACTAATTTAGTTTTGATTCTTTCTGTCTTTGAAAATTATAACTACATATTAGTTTTTTATATTAACTAATTGTTTATGAGAACATTTCTGTTCCTTGTATTCATTGTTTAGCAATTTAACATTTAAATTAGTTTCACAGAGTATCTCACACTTCTTGGTTTTTACATACAAACTTTACTTGCTTCATACTTGCTTTGCTAAGTCCACATAGACCATGTATTGTACAGCTCCTTTCACCAATAATGTGTACACACAAATAACTGTTTATTCACTAAGAAAGTCTCAAGGTAATTATGAATCAAAAAACTTCTCTACCTTTTAGGATCAGTATCTTATATATTAATTACAAATACTCATTTGCATTACTAATTATTATATACTTTACGGTTGTATATCAGAATCTCAACATACAAAATCCTGACACACAAAATCCTGGCAACAGAATCCCAATACACAAAATCCTGACAAATTAATTTTCTAATTTTAATATTTTTAGGATTTTAATTTGTTGGGATTTTGTGTATCAGGATTTTGTCGCCAGGATTTTGTGTGTCAAGATTTTGTTTGTTGGGATTCTGATATACAACCATACTTTACTTATCATTTTAGACTTTAATTAATTTTATCAAACAAGAATCACGTTATTTATGCAAATCACAATTATGATACCCTAAACCTTGCATTACAAATTCCTGGGCACCAAAATCAACCATGACA